GGATTTCTCGGTGAAGCGTTTGTTGTTGCCGTCTTGACTGAATTATAAACCGTTTTGTGAAAGCCATAGCTTGGCACGTCGTAGCGCCTTAGAGCCATCGCCTTAAAATTACACTTCTGTATGCACTCCTCTTCTTCTTGAAAAGCTGAATCTGATGATACTCATTGATCCCCCCTACTGATCCAAAGTCGTTTGGAGCCCTAGCTTTCTTGATATGGGGGTATCATGATCTTGTCTTTTTGACATTAGTATTTTTCAGTCCCGACCGCCAAGTCGAAAACTCTTGTCATTCTTGTCAGAGTTAATTTGACCAGCTATATTAACCGGGTCACTTAACAATGTCGCGTCTCAGTTGAGGTACATAGCAGGTAACAACTAATCAGACGAGTGAGTCTGTGTGCGAGTGAGTAAACCTAACAAAGCTCTCAAAACGAATTTCGTAGTGTAACATTAAGGTGAGGAAAAGCTGAGTAGTACTAGGCAAACGAAAGGGACGAACTCGTTTGAGGCGCAGTCGAAACGTTCTGAAATTCTTACTAACTAACTTCGTAAATTGATTTCCATTGGGCGTCCTTGAAACATAATAACAAAGGTATCGATTAGATGACTATGTGTAAATACATAAAACCATGTGGTATATATCCCACATGTTTAGCATAGAGATGACATATAAGGGCGTGCACTGACGTTATCTTTGAACCAGTACCAGCCATCTGTAGTCTCCTCTCCATAGATTCTAGGAGTAGGTTATCTATAAGCTCGCCAGAGCGACTCCATGTGTAAATTGTTGTCTTTAACCCGTAAAGGTCTCTTGTTGATTCGTTTTCTTTTCTCTGTACAGATCTCTATATAGGCAGGAAGAAGGTGGGACCTTCGTATTTGCCAACCTCTACACTTCAAAGAGAAAGGACAATTATATGGTTAATTGTCTAAGGCGCTTTAATCCGTCTGGTGTTTTATGTCTTTTCGTGCAAGGCCAAAGGCGGCCAACTGGTTTCTAATAGCTCTCAAGGCGACCGCGTAATGCGTCGGTGCCCACGGAGAGAACCTATATGACCCATAATAGCGCTTAATTATTGTGTTCATCCATAGCGGTTAGCAAGCAAGCAAGCTTTTGAACAAATGATAGGTCGAAGTATGCAGGCGTGTAATAGTAAATATAATAACTAGTAAATATAGAAAAATGTATATATCCATAGACATATATGTGTATGTATAGTCAAGGATCTGGATGTGGGTAACATAATATAATGAGACAGAATTCGAATAAGATTGAAACAGATCTGACAGGAAAATAGGTGTGAATCTTGTCACAATTACTACGGTTTAGAATATGACAAGCTTACTGAATCAGGTCTACACGAACACCAATTACATTTCACATTGGACAAAAACAATTCTTTGTCAATGTTTCTGTCTATAGCACAGCGGTCCTTCAACAGTCGCCAATCGACCTATGTTAATCGAACGGTATAAAACTACTTGCGCTGCTACCAAAAGCTGTTTTCTCTAGTTTAGTTACTGGCCAACGCGCTCTGATACATGTTTCTATCAGTTTCCATATCTAATGGATCGTTATAATTAGGACACTGTCAATTATTTCTTTTTCGTTTAAACCATTAAAAAAATCCCATTAATTACAAGTAGCTCGTAGCAATATTTGTCGTTGTATTCTGGTCGACATTATCATAGGTTCGTTTCTAAAAGAACATACTCGAACCGAATGGATGGACCCAAAATAAAGCAAATTATGTAAATGGGTAAAACGTTCGCAGCACAGGTTTCGACATACCTCTATAGGGGTATTTTTAGGTAGCGTATTGTGATCTGATTAAGACATTCCAGTTGGGCAGTATAGCACTTTTTTTATCACACCTAGCGCAGTTGTCCTTATTTTGAGGTGGATATCTATAATCTTACCGGCCATATATATATATATATATATATATAGACGTGCGTATGTTAATGTACCGTCATTGTCAGTAATCCATTGGAGAAAAAAATGTAGTGCATTTTATTATTACCTGTACAGGGCACTATAAAAGTCCGCAACTATTCAATATAGCCACAAAGGCTTTCTTTCTGTAATAATAACAAGTAATAACCGTTATTATTAATTAATAAATTATTTATGGATTAACAATATAACGACAATATGATCGTTTACCATATTGTTAATTACAATATTGTATTATGTTCAATGTGTATGTTATTTTTTGTCAGAATGCTCGAACAAGCAGGCGTTGTGTGGTGATGTGACGCCTGTATGTATATGTATATATATATATATATATATATATATTATATATATATATATATTATATATATATATATATGTATATGTATATATACGTATATATATATATATATAGCTATCGCTAAGAATTCAGGATAGTTTAGTAATAATAATGATACTAATATTTCTATTCATTATTCCCGTTATCATTCTATCCGACATCTCACTTCTATAGTTAACTACATGTATTTCTAAAATTCTCGTCGCCGGGCTTAATTTATTTTTAATTTGCTTTTTCCCAGTACGTATTTTGCAACAAAAGCCGTTGTGGTCCCATTGCATTTTTTGGTTTTATGGAAAAGTAGATGCAGCCCAAACCCGTTCTGCATCACATCAGTAGAACTGCGAAAAATCCATTACCTTTTTCCCTTTGTTCCCCACGTTTTTCGTCATTTTTTTTTCATTTTTACTCATCACCTTCGCCATTTCATGCTCACGCTTTTACTTTTCGCTGTGAACGCCGTCGAGTAGCGTCAAACGTATCTTGAGTATATTTAATGACTTCACGTGGCAGGTATTACTATTTAATTCATTATGTGCTATATGGTGTCGTTTATTATCTTGTTTTTACGGTTATATATCGGTAAAGTATTATCTTAGCCCTCTGTGTGTGTCTCTTCCGCCGTTCCTTACTTGCTTTCGAGACTTTTCAACTAATCGGAGTTGCGAGAATATCGCGTTCAATCTCTTTGGCCAATGTGAATTTGATGCCTTTAGTTTTCCTATGGAGTAAATCATAAACATTCAATATTCAAAACGCGGAAATCGTACCGTGGCTCTACATGCGAGAACTCGATGATTTTGCAATTCGTTAGCTATTTTCAACCATTTCGTCATTGGTTGTTGCTAACTTTACGGGAAAAATACTTTAGTAAGTGAATGCAGATGAGGGGTGCCTGAGCACATCTCGCTGCACCAGCGCCGACCACTATCAGTCATTATCAAAGAATCGGAAACGTCTTCATCTGCAAGCCTCATCCTCTCGCCAAACATAATAGGAACGCCGAAGTCTATAGAACGATATCACTCTTCCCGTACTTGGACACGAACCACGTTCTACCATTCTCTATGTTTCTGTGTAGAAGAATTGTTTCGGTTGATATTCGGTAGTTCTCAATTACGTATCGCCTTACAAGAACTACAACTTACATTTACGCTTCTATGAAATCCGGTCAAGATACTATCATCTTATTTACATTACGTGGTTAGTTACTGACAAGCAATGACATCAGTTAAATCATTACAATTTAAATATCGGGGCATATCATTCGTGCCGTTAGAAAAACGAGCCCGACTGGCCCTCAGTGAATTCGTATAGCCGAAGGAAAGCCTACTCGTGATAGACACCACGAGTTTGCTTTTTCAGCTGCTGCAGAATGTCGGTAGCAAGTATGACATCATAATTATAAATATATGTATAGCACAAACGGCATGCACGGTTGAGGTTCGTGGATGGAGGTGTGTCGGTTCCATGACAGATCTGCGGTAGCAAAGCATTACTCCAAACTGATCTGTCCATTGATAGCTCTTGTATTACTCTCGGCTTGCTTAGTCATTCGCGGTTAAAGTAGAATAATTTATGAACTTGTCAACGAATTATACACGCGCATTGTATAGGAATAGGTCCGAGAGGTAAGTAAACTGTAGCCACGAGTTGTCGCTGGCATCACAGCTTAGGCGACATGGAAGAATCCTCTGTATTTTATTTCTGTGAAATGTCGATCTTATCACAAAATGTATTAAATATATTAATAGTAAGTAGACATGGCGTCCTTCATTTAGAAGCGACCTACGTTAGACCTAGCCAATAATGAATTCTCGTACGAAGTGATTAAACGAGACTATTGAAGTAGCAGTGGTAGATCAAATCGTTAATTTTTTGGTCTGGTGCGATTCAACAACAAACACCGTAGATTAAGCCGGCCTTCGTCTGTGAGTTGTGCAGAGGACTCGAATTCACCCTGACGTTTTTCTCTATCGTATTTATGTAAATTTGCTGCATTTTGTCCGTCAGATACGAATCCAATATTATATAGCAAATAACAGTGTAATAGCATCGACTTAGTAAAGGCTGCTCGTGTATCTAAGTGATATGTTATATATTTGTCGTTTGTAGATTCTCAGTGAGGAAACGATCACCATACCAGGCGTATCAGATTCTCTATGGCAAAGTTATTATAAGATCTTCCTGATTCGTTTAGAAGATTCTGACACACTCTCACACAGAAAGCACCCCTAGGGCGTTTTAAAATATTAAACTAGGACTATCAAAGACATTTTTCAGTTCTTGACTTTAAATGGAAAACTATACAGCAAAGATTATATGACTTCATTCAAGCTTGTACTGAGGACAGACCCTTGGAACGGTAAGAGGCAGACAGTACATATTAAAGGTTTGGATGATACTTTGGTCCAGCTAAGAGGTGAGGCGATTATTATTCCGCATATATTAAAAGGAAGTACAGGCAGCGATATAATCAGCGGGAACATTTAGAGAATCAGTTGTTGTTGAGAAACAGCATGGCATAAAAGTAATAAAATTTGAGGTACGATGGCACTGAAAAGGGATTCTAATGTGTTTTTCTTTCGTATATTGAACTATCCCGCGTTAGTGATTTCTATTATTTAAATTCATATATATATATATATATATATATATATATATATTCATTTAAAATTGTCATTGATAGGATGTTTTTTGCCCTCAGAGAGTTTGTTAATACATTTATCGAATGCAAATTTAGCCACTGGGCAAGAATAACCATCGTTAGAGTTCGTTTTGAAGCGGCGGAGTTACTACGTAGGATAACACGGCTTTCCTTAGAACAACGCCAATAGCCACATCGGCCTATAACCACCGATGGTGATACGGAGAAGCGTATAAAAGTGTGTTTCCCTTGTGTGTCTATTTGTATCAGAGTCTCTGAGTGTCAGTAATTCGTCACTGCCGAGCAACATTGACCTGGTATCAGGCTGGACTCTGTTAACGGGCGAGGCGGAAACTTCTTGTTCGTCTCGATCTAGTTAGCAGCAATAGTTCAATGAAAATGATCGGAGCAAAGTCAGTGAACATATAAGCTCTGACTAAACATTATCCAGCTTTCCAAAGTAAGCTCTTCTCGCGTGGCACTTAATTGCCTGCTTAGCTGGTAACGAGTGCTAGATACGAAATCCTAACGCAGATAAAATGACGAAACGCCTTGCTATGAATAAATGTAAGTTAAATATTTTTCTTGGCTTTTCGTTATTACGCCTCGCTGTTTATTGCGACACTTAATTACTATCTGTTGACAAGTCGGCATCTGATCCATTGCTTCCTCGTTCTTAGTCATTACTATCGACTTGCTGCCCGGTGACCATTTCAACACGTAAGGCCTGCACCACAGCGGCGTGCAGAATTACTATACATGCACACTGACACACGGAAGAAACGAAGACGTGCTAATTACAGCGTTGGGATTGTTGTTTCCAGTCGTTTTTGTTACCATTGCCGTAGTGCAAACTCCGCCTTTCTAACACATTTGCCTGTCGGTGTGATTGTTGTTGTGAAAAGTGAGAGTTTTTGATTTTTATCACTTAAATCTGATAGTAGTGTTCAGTGGTGGTCGATGATCACGCATCACCGTGATATTAATGCCTTCATGGCCATTATTCTGAGTGAGATCGATTATCAGCATTGCTAAGTGATGAGAAGAAGCCGTGTGGTTTCACGTCACACGCCTACACGTTGGCAATGGCGATCTGGTTGTCGGCAGTGTCTGTCTGCACAGATATGGAAGCATGACTGGGCCTATGTGGTGGCGGTGTCATAGCAAGCGCGACCGCAGCGCATGCGCAACTGCACGCCGAAGCCACACGCGAGCACGACGGCTGGTCGAGCATATGCAGTGCGTGCAAGCTGATTTGCGACGTCGATGGCGACGCCATTGAGCAAGCGCTGTGCACGCGCGAAGCAAGGGCCGAGCAGGCGGACGCTACGCCCGACGTCCCAACACCACTACCACTTCGGCCTACGCCGCTAGCGGTACAACTGACAGTGTGGCTTCCGGCACTATGTTGTGCCTGGCAGGCTTGTTGATTCTTCCAAGCGTCTTCCATAAGGCTCGCCGTCGTTTCGGCGTTACCTTCGTCGCACTCGGCTAAAGTGAGCTCGTAATAATACGATCCGACACACTTCATGCAGTATACCTGAAACCGGGCCATTCAACACAAAAACAATTACAAGTAATATAAATCAATGAGTTACGCTCAAGTTAAAGGTATATAGCATAGGTCCATGAGGATAATAACATAAACAGGACCATTTAGATATTGCGAAACCCATCTAAGCAATGGGAAAACCCAATTTTTTCTTATGAATATTGTATCGTATGCATACATGGGATCAAACAAACACAGCGACGAGAAATTATATGTACGTAAACGTAGCATAAGCTCTAATAACTCTGGTAATGTTCGGGCAAATAGCAACTCGGGAAAAGATCCCTCATAGAGCAGCAAAAGCTTCGCTTCATATCACGGGCGACGCTTCGGATCTATAAGCAAATCTATCAACAAGCTACCTAAACGGCTATTTTTTGTTCCTGTATGGCCACTCATTTGCCTATTCTTAATAGACTTTGAATGAAATCAGCCATGAAATGCTCATTTCTGATAGCATTATATGTGGCCTCAATCAGCGCTGAGTAAACATTTTCTTCCACCACCTTCCTTTATTTCCACTTCCCTTAAGTAAATTAGACGATAAGCTTAACTATATGAAGGTTAGAAATAATCTAATTAGCATACAGAAATTATTGCTCACTCCATAAGGCTGTCATTGTGCTCTAATGAACGGTGCTGAACAATAATGTTTGACACGATGGATCTGTGCAGTTTTCCGTAATTCCATGATTATCTAGCCGTTCGTTACACATTTTGTGGCCCTTTATTTGCTATTTTTTTAATTTCACGATGATGAAATCTCAGCGTTCAGGTGAAACCAATATGCAGTGGGGTGGCCTTGGACAAGTACTAAGGTACCGCACTCGAAAGTATACTACTAAAATAGAGCGATTTCAACGAAGTCTTTTCAAAATGTAGTCAGCTTTTGTCACTGTCAATCGAGACGCGAGACGTTTGACTTGGATTATTCCTACAGGAAGCGTATGCTGCAATAGGCCCATTACCTTTTGTTAACGAACTTTATAAGAATAACGATAAAGTTTATTTATGTCTAGCTAGCAAAAGTACTATTTAAAATGATGACCATCCCTTACGGTAATTTAAGAGAGCATATCGTTTGCTCTGCCGCCTATTTTAAAGCCTTCGAATGTACACTGTGAAGTCATGATATAAATAACCTATAGAGTATGTAGCTAAACACGTATGTAAAAAGTTGTTTTCAATTCGGACGGATTACGTCGTAGTCTTCAGTCAAACATCTATGTTAGCTTCTGTAGATGATACGGCACCTACAAAGTTTTTGGTATAGGCAAAGCTCTGCTTAACAACAAACACATCATGAAGGGTTTGTCGGTATAATATGAACAAGGATTGTTCTATGCATTCACTCCAGAAAAGATCCTAACAATGTTTTAAACTTCTGTCGCAGGCCGAGATCGAGATATGTGAACCCAGATACTACAAGAAAGATTTCTACGAAGGACAGCAATCTACACCAGGAATTCGATTGAACTTTGGAGCAGAGACATATTTTGAAGGATTCCGAAATTCTCGGCTCCGAAGCGGCTCGTTTTACGTAAAAAGTACTTGTCACCGATTGCGTCACCTAGGTCAGCTCTACTGGTCTATCTAATTGATTTCTCCCTTTCTAGAACTGCCGTTCATTTCTGTATCGAAAACCTAGGTGTGTCAAAAATTGTTGTTAAGCCATTTTGATTCAGTTGAGTCCTTAAAATTTAAACCCTATTCAATGTATTCCGGTTTGTCTTATGGAAGTTCCCTTCGGATGTTTCGGGAACCGCACTAGCAATAATATAAATCGTCGGTTTCTAACAAAAAAAGTCAACCTTGTTAGAGCTTCTTGTCCAAAAAAACATGTACGAAAAGACATTTGAACAATCGCTGACTTTCGCTCAAATTCCCAGAAACGATGAGTTACTTCTTAAGTGATAAGTGTGATAACTTATTCCGAGCCCAACTGTCCTCCGTTTATATATATATATAATACTAGTGAGATGAATCTCGGGAATGTCTACATCTAACAGGACGCAACAGTAAGCAGCGAAATTCCGCAGTTTGTGACTAGGCGTGCGTGTTTGAGCTAAAGATCGTTATTCTTCCGCCGACGCCTGTTGTCCTGCTCTCTTGAGTTCGATGGCATCGAAGTACCCCAAGGAAGGAGATTCGTGTAACGGAGTAGCGGTGATAGCGGCAGCAAACGGTGAGGGGGTGCAGTGACGATCCTTATAGTAGTTGTGGTCGTTTTGCCCAAGCTAGCTTGATCAGACGATGAGTGAACAAGGAGTATGTAATTGACAAATGTTCTCTGCTCCAGATCCAGTTCCATTAGCTTGTTCTATGGTATGCTGCCTCCGGAGTGACGAGGAAGGACTGACAGCCAGCTCGTGCTCATTACTTCAGTCTGGTTCGGTTCAAATGGCGATCAACGACAGTCAGCAAAAACAGTCAACTTATTTTATAGCAGACGAACCGGACCTCAGCCTATCGCGCATCTAAGTCATCGAAATAGCAGGTAGTGATAATGATACGAATAACACGAAGCAAGGAATAAAGCAATAGCCGCAATGATGACAAATCGAAAGAGCTAAACAATGAAACTAGATGGGCCACTGGCAGATCAAGATCAATAATCCGACCTCTGGCAATGGGAAAGCTTTCGTTTGTCTGTGAAGGCATATAAATGTAGAACTATATATTTTCTTTTTTTTTCACTAACATACAAGGATATGCTAAGTAACAATTGTCCTTTTAAGACCTATACATTATGGTCAGATTTAAAGTCGTTTGTGACGAAATCAATTAAAAGTTAGATTTTGTACGGTGTAAACTAATATCAGCTAAACCTACCATCAAGAATACTGTCATCCACGAAGCCATAACCCCGACGAGAGCGTACGTTGAAGATGCGAAAACAGCAGCGATCACTTGAACTGAAGCAATAATAAACGTGAACAGCGTGTTCACGAATTGCCAGTAGAGCCATAGCAGTACTAGAGTTGAGCGTTCCTGTAGCAAAGAGAGAAAACAATTACCTCTTTGTAAAAGAGGACAATGAGAGGAGCCAAAAAGAAACACAAACACAGACACTTAAATCGAACAAAACATTCTCCTAAATATATGGACCAAATTGTTTCGCGGCTTTGGCCCTCTGCCTTTTTACCGTTGATTCAATTAAATTGATCGTTTGATGTGATATCTGGTGTACCATTCATACACTATAGACTCACATTTATCCCGTGGAAGTTACCTTGCTGGACTTAATCCACTACACTATACACATATATATATATGTGTGTGTGTGTGTGTGTGTGTGTGTCATAAATGCTACACGTATGCATAAAATATGTACATATTTATGTATGTGTAAAACTAAACACCGATATACGGCCTAGAACCAGCTGAAAAGTACTTGTCAACTCCCAGTTGACAGTCGTCTAAAGTCTTCTGTAATGAGGTCACGCAATTATTCACAAAATCATTGGGTTGTCTCTGAGACACCTGCTCTTCCTACACAACGTAAGAACTTTTCCTCGGCCTGCGTTCGGTGATACAAATGCTCCCACACTTCGACCTCTCCAGCCACCGTCAACTTCAGAAATGGCCACTTTAGTACTGACCCTTTACCCCCAAAGGCACTATTACAAATCTTCGTCCATCCTTGAATTGACTCCTCTTTCGGAACGCGACGCATAATGTAGCATATGTATAATTTCCTTTCCTTACCGCGGTGTTTGTTGTCCGTTCAACGTAAAGATTACCGTTCTTTAATCGTGATTTAAGATAGAACCTTAAATCACGTTCTATCTCGTCATTTGTATCCAGAAGCTTGTGACATTTTCAGCCGCGTACGATGTTTATCTCCGAGAAACTGAATAATGAGGAGCTAGCAGTCAATGTCATTGTGTTACCCTTTACGTAAATCAATTTCGTTTTGATTTTCAATTATCATGGTATATTTAAATGCATATGGCTGTCGTTCGTTTCGCTTCGTACATTTCGCTTTGACCTGCGACAACAAAAACCAAATTGTTCTGTCTGATATTTAGAATAGCGGTGATCTGACATTATGGCTTGTTTAGTGTCATAGAGATCGTGTTTTCTGTCAGATTCTATGGTGAGCTGCGCCTTTATGCTGCACCTAATCAACTCTGTAAGTACGGCCAATATGTCTATTTAAACTATTTAGTATTAGATACTAGGCTGTAGCACAATGTGCGTCCTTTGTTAATCGCTGACAAAAACTCAAACAAATCTATTATACCTACTGGGCATAGACCATTTAGATTGAATGTAAATTGTTCTATTGTAGATTATAATCTTTCTCTAATGATAAAATATCGTTTATCCTCGTTGTCGGCTGCCACTGAACGCACTGTCAGTAAGTCCACCATGAAGTCAGTGAAACCACTGGGTTAATTCCCGTACGGTAGTCGGAAAAGGCCTATGGACGAGTCCACACTATGAAGGTACATGGTATTCAGTCACCCATGAATTCTGCGAACGCAACACTTAAGATCGTTGATCGCAGCTAAAAGTGTACCACGTTGCGAGCCAATGACTGATTGGAAGTACCGAGAAGAAGAGACACTGCGTGCATGGTTATGCGTCTTGGCAGTTAGTACCGAAGCCATGTTAGGACCAATGAGGAGCGAGCAAGATGAAGCATCACACTTTTGAATCTGAACCTCTGACCAACTCAAGTCAGCTAGAAGTAGCAAGGCTTAAAGGTCACGCTTTCCGGTCTACCGCCCGTCAAGTTACTTACGATGATGATGAAGGACAAAAACATAGTAAATGGATGATTCCACCTTCTCAAAGGTCTCGCATTTGCCTTCTGGCACCACTCCCTCTGTTAAGGTTATTCGCGACGAGGGCAATTATTGAAAGCAATAAAAACCAACATGTGGCAAACAGATCCGACTATTTGATACTACAAGACAAATTAACAGACAGATTCTTTCGGTCATTTTGCCGGTTTCCCAACGCGAAGTCATGTGATAGTTTCACATGGGAATCTCGAGAATATATCGGCAAGATGGAAGTTTCGTATGAAATTGCATTATGTACTAACCGATACAACATAGACATGAGGACTTTAGCACGAATTCCCATGAAGCCGATTGGGAGGCGTTTGAAACCGGTTAATGTGGTGGTATCATATTCGTATTCCTATATTCCGGTACTCGGCCTGTGCGTTTAGTCCGGGTCCGTTCACATGCTGCGAATTTTCTCCTTCAGGTCTTCCCATAAAAAATCGGTGAGCCTATGGCCTGGAATGTGCGACGTGTTTTACAGCGGTTTTACGGCTCCAAGACATGAGGTACAGCCCAGGCCACCTGGACGTAATAAGTGAGCGCAACACAAAGCTCTCATTATTTCCGCAGTTCTGACGGGTTATCGGTCTCGTTGAGTTGAATCTATTTCGAGCTTCTGCCTTGAACCCGTAGTGATTCTCAAGCAGCTAGGCCAAAAGCCGTTCTTCGCACAAGTTCAACGGCAATAGTTTCGGATATGATTGGAAAGGACCAACGTGTTAGTGTATGTTGAGAAGTTGCACAATGATAACTTCTCGGGAGAGTGGCGATAACCTCTCGCCAAAAACCGTTCTTTGTAGAAATTCGAAAGCAGTAATTTCGGTTACGATAAGAAAGGGACAACGTTGTTCTTATAAGGTTACTCTCGAATATCTATCTACCTAAGCTCAATGCTGGCTGGACCATAGAAAGCGAAGCTGTGTCCTACCGGACACATTACTGAATCCAAATGCACATGGTAGTATGCGTTTGCTTATTGATAGAGGCAGTAGATTGCAGAAGCTTGTTATAAAGGGATTGATGCGAGCTTTTTCTGTTGTTGATCAATGGTTTGCTTGTAGTTTTTGTCAATGGAAAATAATGGATATCAATTCTGTATTTTTTGTATAAATATGCACGGATATACGCTTCTCTACTTAAATGAACGTGTATTCTCAAAAGGATAGGGCAGAAAGAACGAGTATGATCACCAATGCGCATACAAGTATAGTACAATGAGTATATACGTGCAATTGGTTGGCCCGGTAGACCTGTCCTATCTAAATATAGCTTGGTGGCACCTTTTGTACTACCACACGACAACTACGATGGAAGCTTTTTTACGATATTAATGATTACCGCATCGTCCAATAATTTTTCGCCATCTATCAAGCGACTAAATTTTAAAATTGTAGAATTTTTCTCTTTCTGCATGTTGATATACTCATTTCAGTGGGTTGTTACAATTGATTTCCGATACACGTAACATACGGATGTTTCGCCAGTATCGTGATGTTAGACAATTCTATACCATTGCATCAAAAACTTACGAAACTGATGAACTTCTTTACTTATACGATTCATCGAAAACCTACTCATGCGTGTGCAACATATGTACATATTCTCCTTGAGAGCCGAGCTAAAAATTATTAACGTCATCATCGTTATCCGTCATAAACGGCACTCCACAACGGAACGGAAACTGGGGTCAGACTACTGACTACTTTATTTCCTTTCGAGTTAATTGAAGCAAAAGATTCTGGCAAAATTTAAATTTTACCTTTGATGAAAGCTTTATAGCTACAGCGGAGTTGCTCGAACGCTCACAGAATCATAACCGATTATGACTAGGATACAGTAGCATGAATAACTCAAATATATGGGTAGGAATTTGAAATTTTCATTCAGAGAAAAAGTTTTTTTTTTTTTTTTATCTCATTTCTGATAATAGAGTGGGCGCTTCGTTAACGTTACTTTTTGATAGGTCCATAGAATTCATCCTGAATAAAATAAGCATTAGCAAGTTGATTATTTCAAAATGTGAAGTTTTCAATTCATCATGTAAACAATGCAACATGTTTTTCATATAAAATTGTTTTCCTTCGCCTAACTTTAAGTTAAACGATCTGAACGAGTAACTTATATGTTCCAGTACTGCAAGCTTGAAAATCTATGATATAATGAGTGAGCATGTAGCAGAATATAATCACAATTCCTAGGATGGAGCAATTAAAGCGCGATCCTTCGCGCAAATGACTATTATAAAAGGTCCGTTATATTTTTTAAGGGGACGTTGTTTATAGGTATATTCAGTTACACCTGTCGTACGGTATGAATCATTTAGATGTTAGATACAAATATCGTAATACGCGGTACGCAACGTGTTTAAATTTAAGGACGCCTGGCGATGTACTAAACACTTCATTTTGTGTTGGGATCGAACCGCCTGAAGCGATGCTTACTGATTTCAGTGGTAACTGCAAAACGCACAAAAAAAGGAATAAATATCTGTAGTAGGCCGTTGCCCGGCACGCTGACCGTAGGCTGTGCATTCGTAGGAGATGCGATGCTTACGATATTACTGAGGTTACTTCTTCTAGAGCTATTAGAACCCTGCGCTCGATTTTCGTTACGTCAGCGCAAAAATAAATACGTCTATATACAGTCGACACAGTCTGTACAAACGAGTAGCGTGAACATATAAACTGATAATTTATTTTTTCGGCAAATCCAAGACTCTGCTTCTATCGTATATGCACGGTGCTAGATGCGCCTTTAACTTTGTATGTCCGCACTCCATGAAGCATTGCTCCTAGCTGCTGGTTTCTGGCATGAGCCGATGTACATGCTTTTGTGCGTGCTTTTTAACCTAGGCCACTACCTGTCTGTGATTCAGTAAACGAAGGGATGGCAATCGCAGCATCAAGAGGACGAGTAAAATCGGTACCTACAAAGGCGTAGAAGTGAATGCTGATGGCTAAAATAAGCACTCAGGTAGATGTGCGAAGATAACGGAAGAGTTGAAGAGGTTACAAATGTTTGGAGATGACGATACTCTTACGATAATCAACAATCAGATAATGTTGTTCTATCAAGTGTCTAATTTTATTTATGTAAATCTTATGCTTGTGAACATGGTTAAGTAGCATCGCTTACGTTACTTTTACGTTATAGAGTCGCACAAGTGTTCAAGATTCTTCTAGTTCTTCAATA